GGGGTGAATCACATCTTTCTTCTTGATAATGTTCATATTTCCCAGCACACCAGTTGAGAGAATATTTCCATATATGATTTCCATATCTTCATTAGCATATAAGCTCATCAGAGTCTCAACCAACTTACTCTGATGAAACAATTCAAATGGAAGTCTCGCATAAGGAACATTCTTCTTATGGTGTTTAATGCTTTCTTTGATATCTTCACACAAGTGATGAAAGATGTAAGCAGGAAGGTTGATCCTCTCATGGTTAACCAAAAACCATATGAAGTGCATGTGATCCCAAGAGATCTAATCAATGATTCCTTATCTTGGAATCAGGCAGCCAATTAGTATTTCGAACAAGAGCTTGTAATCAACATGCATGTTCTTCACCTTCCCAAAATCTTCATATTTGATGAATAATTGTTGCTTAATCACACCAAATACAGGACTATTTTCTTTGGTGTTCAAAGCAAATCTTCCAATGTTATCCGTATTTAGAAGTTTTGCAATGTGAATTCGAGTGATAGTCACATTAACCCCCTTAATAGCTAATCTTATTTCCACTTCTTTGAAATAATCTAAACCCATTTCAACTCTTGTCTTCCCTTTGATTTCTTCATTCTCTACAATCTTCTAAGTCTTTTCAAAAGCAGTAACCCTTTCATCATACATTTCAACCCTAACACAGAAATCCTTAATCAAGTAAGGAAAAGTAGAACAATTCAACATCTCAAAATAATTTATCCATCCTTGAGCTTCAAAACAGGCCTTTAATGGAAACCAATTAACCCTAAAAGATTCAAAGTCGACAATATACTCAACAATCAACTTTAGATCTTCTTCTCTAAGCGTCAAGGTTCTGGGCTTGATTTCGAGAGACTTGCCAGAGTTTACTACCATTAGAATAGAATTTGAAGAAGATGTCATTATAATGGAGTTTAGGGCTTTAGAGAGGGTTTTTAAAAATGGTTGTTTTTCTGAGAAATCTAGACAACGAAAGTGTTGATAGTGAAGAGAGAAAATATGTGTGAGTAATAAAACATTTAAGTACCTTTGAGTGTAAAAAGACTTTCGTTTGAAAGACACAAACATTAATGAAAAATGGGAGCTTAAAACAGTATTCAAAAAAAATTTCATCATAAACCAATTGTTATTATCCAACAAACAAGAAACCAAGAGTTACTAAACCTTTCAGATTCATGACACGTAAGTGGACAAATGTCAAATATACATTTCATTTACATGTTATAAAAAATAATTAACAAAATTTTGAGTATCAAAGGATGCGTTTCTCAAATGCTACTATTCATCATAAGCTTGTTTGGAGCTTCTGACCACAATAACTTCTAATCATCATCAAACTCTAATGCTCTATTTCAGAAGCAAACACTAAACTTTGACAAAATGCATGTTCGAAATCTTTTTGATAAATTTAAATCTTTCGATACTAAGAGGCTTGGTAAACATATCAGCCCATTGATGATCTGTATCAACAAATTGTATATCTATCACACCCTTTTAAACAAAGTCTCTAATAAAATGATGTTCAATTTCTATGTGCTTAATTCTAGAATGTTGAATAGGATTCTTTGTCAAATAGATAACAACAATATTATCATAAAAGATTGGAATACTACTTCCACTTATCTGATAGTCTTCCAATCGATATTTCATCCAGAGTAGTTGTGCAACAACTTGCAGCTGAGATGTCACTTTTTATGCATAAATACATTGAGTGGATTGTATATGTTGAAAGTGACAATAAATGTGGTTTTCAAGATGTTTCGAGTTCGCTCGGCAAAAAAGAGAACCACCAGTTCATCTGCCATCAACTTATACAAGGGTTGATGACATATATGCAAATCATACACATTGATATGCGAAAAAACAATTACGATGTAATTCTCAATGCTCTTGTTTCTTGTGTTGATAGCTCCACACCGTTTGAAAATTGGATGTGCTTATCTGAAATTGGACATCTTATAGCAAGTGTTTATGATATGATGTGTATTGATATGACAAGATATGGTCTCTAAAAAAAACTATTTTGGAGTAGGTCACCTCAAAATCCATCTGTACGCATCATGTGTACTCGGTGGCTTTCAAAAACACAACATTTTATTCAAGTTTATTTGAAATTAGGGTGTCTTATACCAAAGACATCACCGAAGTGAACGACACATTTCACAAAAGAGGCTTAAACTTGGCCTGATCACTTTCTAGAAAGGATGTAAGAGTTCACCAAGTTGAGCGAGATTGAAAGAGAATCAAATAAGGAAAAGTCAAAAGTGGCACCACCAATGAAACTAGATTTAAGTGATGACACATATTTTGATGCTTTTTTAGTTTTTATCTAACTATGTATTTAGATTATGAGTTGTTTTTTGTATGTAGTATTGACACGACCTCGATACATATGTAATGTATATCCAACATTAATTGTATAACAATTGGGGTCAATTACGTTTTGTTTCAACCAATTTGAAGAAAATATTTTGTTTCTCCCTGCATAAAACAAGTTCTGCATAACACTTTCGGGGATGCACTTTCGAAATAATCCCATGTTAACTGAAAAATATCAAACATAGGGTATTTCGAAGATACATCTCCGTAGAAACTCTTAAGTTGGAAAAAAAGTAGGGTGATTTTGGATATGCAAATCCGGGATATCCTTTATGACAAAATAATTTTTTTTTTTAACATCAATAATAATTTAAAACTTGTATAAATATGTGGTATCTCATCTCATGTTGTTTACAAAAACACACCACACCAAAATGAGCATACATTGCCATGTCTCATTTGTCTACTTCAACGACGCGAAACACTCACTTGAATTTAAGATCATAGAGTACACCTATCTTATAAATCTGAAATCTATATTGAATAATCTCCTACAATACTCAAACAATCAAAGAGTTGCAAAGCTCGAGTACCATTCACCCTTGATTGACAGCAAAGGGAATATTCAGTTCTGCAACTTTGAGTTGAAGACGAATGAAGATTAAGGTTTATTGGAGTACACCTTACTGTTACAAAACAAAATGTTTGATTCCGATTGAGCTGGATGCGAAAATTGTGAGATCAACCTAATATATTATAAAAATGTTGCAATGTCATGCTGAAATATAATGTTAAATTTATATTACGTATTTAGGTTTTGAATATCTATGTAATGTGACATATTTTAATATTAATTTATGCTTTTATTCAACTTTCTGCATCCATCTGTTACTTGGTTTAAGCTAACAGAATGTATTCCGAAGATGCATAACCTTAAACTTGTTTGAGTTTTGAAATAAGAGTTACTTGGTTTAAGCTAACAGAGTGTATTTTGAAGATGCATAACCTTAAACAATTTGAGTTTTAAAATAAGAGTTGTCACGAAAATGTACCTCTGAATTAACCCTAATATGATTGCAAAGATGTATCTCTAAAAATATTTTTGGACAACATAGAGTGACTCACTCACAAAAATGTTAGGTGCGTGTAAAGTGTGTCTGAAGATGTATCTTTAAAATTTAGAGGTACTTTTGACTTTTCACCGTGGTGAATTAACTCACAAAATTACTTACCCATTATCTAACTCATACAAAAATATCATAATATCCATGAAGTTATGATCTACATAATATCCATGAAGTTATGATCTACATCTAATTATATCAATTTTTTTAATGCTGTCGAAGATGATAACATTCGTGACGAAATAAGATTTTTTTTGTTTTCACAACACAAAAATAAACAATTAGATATAAGGACATATTTACTTATGTATAACCTAATCAGCACTGCAAATCAATAATATAAAAACATGCTACTGGAAGCGAGTGGCTGCTACCATGAAAACGTATGAGATGAGATGCTACATATTTTTGCAAGCTGTACCTGACACTTCTAAGCAAGTGTTGCTATCAAAATATTATACAACCAATTTCAAATACGCGTCTAGCCCCCATCACATGTGCTATTTTGAGCAATCATGGCCATAATCAATAATGGATTGTTTTCCTATAACAGTTTAGTTATTATACTTGTCATCCAAGAATATACTAGCTTCCAATTTCAATTAAGGAAGGTAAATCTGTTTGTAAGTGATATTGTCAAAAGGGTACAAAAATCATCAATGATTGTATGATTTATCTACCCAACTTAGGAATTTCAATTGAATTGTAGAAAGCACATGATCGTGACGCGTTATTGACCCATATACCCCATGTGCTCCCAGGCTGATTTTTCTGTGGTATGTGCTCCTGGTTTTGCCAGAAACTGGGGCAAAGCCAGCTAGATTTTTTTTGAAGTCAACACAAGACTATATTAACCACTCAAATTCTGATTTTCAAACTAAAGAAATATTTAAGATCATAAGGGATAGCTCTGATTTTCAAACTAAAGAAATATTTAAGATCATAAGGGATAGCTCTAATCATTAATTTATACATATGCATAAGAGTTCATTTCACATGTAGGACCTCAAAATAGGTGATAGAAAAACACAAATTAGACACCAAACTATTACACCAAAAACAGAATCCTAGACAGCATATTAGAACCGCAAAACAAGAAAAATAAATAAATAACGGCATTTAGGATAGAGCTCCAAATAAATGTTGCACTCCCATGCTACTCTGGCAGTATTCCAGAAGAAATCTGGAATTAAACTATAACCAAAACATGAAGTTTCATAACTTCAAGACGCGGATAAGAACATAGATAATGACAAAACGGAACCAACTATCAATTTGAAACCCCACAACAATACCCACATGTCTCTTTAAGACTACACATATGTTCATATGACATATTCTTTCAACCGCATAGCAAGAAGACCGGAAAGTTGGAATGAAGCCAGACTATTTTAGTGTGTGTTTAACCTAACACTATGCCTCAGAAGCAACCAAGAAACTCAAGGATTTCTAATAATGAAAATGCATTTGTTGTTGTAATGTACACCAAAAAAGTAATACCTAGATTACTGTTACCATCTCCGACTGCAATTTCACTCAAGCTGTTTACCCTCTGAATGAAGGACCATTCACTCTAATAATGTACACCTGAAAGAAAAGTTTAGCAACCACATTATTAAATGATTAACATATCTGGAATAGCAAGATTGCTAACTATATAAATTCCAGTTTCAGAAAGCATAGTTAAATTTCATTAGCATTATAATCTATAATTTTTATTTTCATCAAATATATTTTTAACGTTGAATGGGAGCCATTAACAAAGACAGATAAGTGACTACATGGTCTTGGTCTTGCCAATGAACGTCGTAAAAATACTTACCAAGTCACTACATGGTCTTGGTCTTGCCAATGAACGTCGTAAAAATACTTACCAAGTATTTTAACAATTGTTAAAATTACAACATTTCATACATTTTTAAAAAAATTTGTTCTTCCAATTTAAATTTTTTAATAACAACCATCATAACATTTGAAATAACTATAATTGTGTATGTATACTGATTAGTAACAGCAGCACACAGCACATGGGCTGAAAAATGAAACATATATTATAAATGTTAAAAAAGGTGTCAAGAACTCCATTATTAGCCACATGCATATAACATTCATCTTTCTTTTCTTGTTTCTTTAACACTCATGAACGGTCTCGTGAAGTCCATTAGCATGAATAAAATAATAAATATGGTGGTGAATGTGTTAAACACCAAGGCATGAATGAGCAAACAAATCAAAATTTAATCACCTTGAATGCAGTGCGTTTAACTAATTCGAAAATTAAAGCGTCCCCGTCAGCAAGTTTATGAGCAATAGCAAAACCTCTCCATCCAGCGCTAAGTCCTGTTTTTTGAGCCAAATATGTAGCTGGAGACTCATTTTCATCCTCATCAATCAAAGTCATCACTTCGTCCCGTTTGGGAAGGTTTTTCTTGCAGAAATGAACGGGAAGACCCTGTTGTCAAGAATTACCAAAATGATTAACCAACTATGAACTGTGGCAGTAGAATTTAATTTGAAAGTTAGTTGTTTGTCAGTGATATTGAATTGAAAGGGATAATTTAATTAGCTTGTACCAGGCTCTGGGCTAATCTACAATCTACAGCATTTAACAGAGACAAACAACTATATTAATTAACTTGAAATGAATAGGGTTTGTTTTGGGTACTATAGTACCCGCCCGCATACCCGAAGTTTAAAAAAATTCTCCTACCCGAGTCCATATCCGTGTGGACACCAACATGTGTATCTGTACCCGAACTCTATGGATAGCTAAGTATCCATACCCGTACTCGTTTACCCGCATTTCTAATAAAACATTATCGATCAATTATAATTTATCATATCATTTATAAGATTTTGGCGACATTAAAAAAATTCAAGGATATAGATGTTGAGATAAGAAATAAGCAAACACTTACATTGAAATGCGTACAAGTTTAATATAGATGTATTCAATAAAATTGATAATCATACATGTGTTTATAATAATAAAAATAAAAATATATAATATATAATGCTGGTATGGGGCAAGTTGGATATTAAGGTACCTGTACCCACTCCCATGCTTGTGTATTTTAGTGGATAATTGTCCGTACCCATGTCTATACCCATTTTGCGGGTTTTTACATTATCCGTTGTGGGTAATTTTTGTGAGTATCCTATGGAGATGAGTCAAATTATCATTCCCTATTTATGGATGAAAGTGTGTGTGTGATTTCTTATGTAAGAGAGCCTCTATAAGTTATCCTTAAATTACATTCATCCTTAAATTAATATTATCACTAAAATACATTCAATCGATTCACATTACTTTCATTCATCCTTAAATTAATATTATCACTTTTACTGGCTATTTTTAATGAGGTATCCAATTTGTATCAAAGGAACTTGAAAAAAAAAAAGTATTGGTTGATGTGTAACATTCAAAGAGAGAATATGTTCACATTGAGTAAAAAAAAGCATAAGCTTAAATTAATAACCTGAGGTGAAGCTACCCAAAAACTTCCATTGATTAGCATTAAAAACAATAACTAAACCAATAGTTATATTATACATACAAAAATGAAAAGGTGTGTTCAATCAAGCAAAACCCCATGTTGTGAAAGGACGTAGTAACTTAAAGTGCACGTACACTTACATGAACATAAGCAACACAATTCACACACACCTCTTTCTGAATAACCTTGCAATAAATTGTAAATTTGCAATGACACAAGTGCAATGCAACACCATTTTCAAAAGAGAAATCAAGAGCCACAGTTTAAGGAATCAACCAGACTTTCAGATTAAATTGTGATTAAGTAGGGCTCTATTTGTTTTGTTATAGTTAACATATGGCTAACCTAGACATGATCTTCAAAAACCTGAGACTGACAAAAGCACACAAAATATAAAATGACATAACAGAATGAATATATACCAGCCAGAATCCACCAGTGACATGAGATTGAAGCATTGTCTTGATAAAAATCGGATGCGGCGAGTTTAATTCGGACTGCAACTTCTCCGCCTTGTCCAATGCTTCCACTCGATCTTCATCGGAAGCATATACACGCTTCGAATAATCCCTGTACTTATCATAACTACCTCCACTGAAAAAAAAATTACAAATATGAATTCAGCGAAGAATATTATATTCCGTACATAAAGTTCAGGAGAAAAAAAAAACCTTGAAGTTCTACTTCTAGGTATTATAACGCGATCAATAAGAATCTGTGAGAAAAATGAAATTAGGTTAGATAGTGAGATTGATGGAAGAAAAGAAGGAATGAAGGTAGGTAGTTAGGGTTAGTTACTTCTTTGTAAACGGGAGCAGGCTGGTTGGCGACACGGCCGGATCTTCTGACAACAACAAGCTGTTTCTCGGTGGTGCGAGGTTTGGACGGCGAGGGTTTCGAAATGGGAGAAGATGATTTGTGAAGTGATTGAGAGAGCTGAGTGAGATTGAGAGCCTCCATCCTCTTCCGATTCTCTTCCATTCTTTTCCGGCGACTCTCTTCATACGACGTTGCCACCATTTTGATTTCACAAGATTGAAATTCTCAGCTTACGTTTGTCTGTGCTCTCTCAGTAGTCTCTGCTCAGAGCAGAAACGAAATGGCGTTGTTTTGCTCGTCGACCGTTGCGTTTCGAATCGCACTCACCGCTATTTATAGTGAAAACTTAAGTGCTTGAAATTATTTGAAAATATTCTAGTATTATATAGTATTATTGTAATTTTGTGTTAAAAAGTTATTTTTATAATTTTAAACTATAAAATGCATAATTAAAAAAGTTATTCAAAAACGCATGGAGGACAATCGAAAGTTAGTCAAGTATATAAAAATGATGTATCGAACAAAAAGATATTTGAATGTTGAAAGACTGATATTTTTGTAACATTATAAATAAGAATTTTAGGGTTATGATTCGAGGTGACAAAAATCATTATAAATTTCAATATACACTCAAAGTACATGTACATAAGAGAATAACAATTTTTCTTTCTATTTAAGTTACTTTTACTTGCTTTTACTTACCATTCAAATAATTAATTTTTACCTAGTCGAAATAAGTTGTTGTACTTTCAAAAAGTCATTATTTTTCAAAGATAATAATAAACATTTGATGCAAACAATCTGACAACATTAAATGCACACTTTCCTTTCTCAAAAACTTCGCACGAAGTTGCCCCAAGATTTATTAGTTTGGTCTTTCAAGCAATAAATCTAAAATTAAGTGATTGTTTACCAAAAATACCGGTGAACAAACTAACACGCCCGATAGAACATGTTTGTGCATTTTTTTGATTTGTTTCTATAAACGGTGTTTGCGTTTTTGTTATGTCTGATTTTTCTTGCATTTGAATAATGTTTTCTACATCTAAATCATATGCATTTCAGTAGGGGTAAAAGTTTGGTCGAAATGGTTCGTCCTAAGAATACGTCACTTCCCTAAAATAATGCTCCAGATACTGAACAACCAGTTGTAAGTTGTAATTGCGCCTAAGAGGGGGGAGGGTGAATTAGGTTCTGAAAATTTATTTGTAATCTTGTATGGTTCCTTGTTTTTTTTCCCGGTTATTAGTTGAAAGTAAAGGCAGGAAAGAAAAAGAGACACATGAAATTATAGTGGTTCCCCTCACACTCCGAGAGTACTCCACTCCCCCTTCAACACGAAAGGGATTTCACTATAGTTCAGAATTATTGCAAATTCTAATCACACTAAAGATAATGCTTACTATCTAAACCTATAGGTAGTCCAAGTGAATAAAGAACAATCCTCTTCAAGACACTTCACTTGTTTCCAACAGTCTTGGATAACAAGGTAATACAAAAAATGTTCTTTGAGAAATATTTGATAGAAAGTTGTTATCAATCTCCACGATTTAATCTTCTTCTCGAAACAAATGTTACTCAGATAAATATACAAGTGTTCTTGTGAAAGAAGACTGTGAGAGTGTGAAAGTTAAATCAATGGCTTCTTTAAAAAATGGTTTGAACACTTAGAATGAAAATTTAAGATTGAAGAATGTGAGTAATTTGAGAGATTTTGTTTCTTGAAGGTGAAATGTAATTTTGAAATGAAGAACAATTTATATGCATAAAACACCTGTTCAAAAGGGTGTGTTTTTGGGACAACAAAAATAATCAGTAAGAAGAATGGTAAACAATGCAATTTTCCATGAACAGTTGTCATTTTTGCTTGCTGCTTCAGTGTTAATCGGTTAACCAAATGGGTTAATCGATTAACACCTTACAACGTTCAAAAATATTTGAAATTTACATGTGTTAATCGGTTAACCCATAGGTTAATCGGTTAACACTGTTATAAAATCCCAAAACACATGATTTTAAAGTGTGTTAATCGGTTAACCAAAGTGTTAATCGATTAACACTGAAGGATTTTCAGAAATTGATTTAATTTAAAACAAAATGAGTATTTTAAAATGGTTTTGAAGTGTTAGTGATAATTGTGAACTAAAAAGTGATTTTTAAGAACACTTGTATAAATATTCTTAAGTAAAATATGTTATACCGTTCCTTTGAATCATCATCATCACTTGTAGCTTGTAGACAAAGCTTTGTTCCATAGAGTCATACACGAGGGTACTTGCTTGACTTTGATGTTTTTGTTTGATTGCTTGCGTCTCTTACTTTTTGCAAAGAATATCTTGTGTACCAAGCCTGTATTAGTTGTCTTCATCAAAACATAAAGGCCTTGAAGCTTGCTTCTACAATCTCCCCCTTTTTGATGATGACAACCGATTCTTGAAAATGTGCTTTGATACTTGGTTCTCTACAAATCTCCCCCTAAGTTAGAGCTCCCCCTAAATACAAGAGAGATAAAACTTTTCTGCATATGGAAATGTTAGAGACCAATCCTTCTCTGAAGGTGAGAAAATACTTAGAAGGGGGGGTTGAATAAGTATGACAGAAAATAATCAAAGATAAAAACTCAAGTATTTTTATCCTGGTTCGTTGAACTCAACTACTCCAGTCCACCCTTTTCAAGAGTGATTTGCCTTTCTCAACAAGGACTTAATCCACTATTCAAATCAACTGATTACAAATAGCAACACCTAAGAACAACTGTTCTTAGTCTTCTCAAGAGCTACTGATCTAACCTAGATCCTCTTAAGGAAAACAACACCTAAGAACAACTGTTCTTAGTCTTCTCAAGAGCTACTGATCTAACCTAGATCCTCTTAAGGAAAACTTCCTTTACAAATTAATGTAATACAATGTAAGAGTAATAAAATGCTTCTATGAAAGCTATAAACACAACTGTGTTATTTCTCTAAGTTTAGAACAAAGTATGAACTAGAAAGAATATGAGAGCTTGAGAGTTTTTCGCGTGAGAGTGTTCTTGCAATGATTTTCGTCACTTGAAGAATGAGCTATGATTTCCTTTATATAGCCACTTGAATATTGGAGAGAATATTTTACCGTTGGAGAAGATATTTCCAATATCAAAAAGGTACAGTCCTTTGTACTATTGCAGCAGAGAGACGGCGCACAAATAGTGGGTGTAGCAATTGTCTGCTGAGCTGTGATTATACCATATATGGAATGTATCAGAGGAATAATATTCTTGCAGAGAATTTTGTCTATCCCAATTAAGGAAGGATTTGCTGGCATATTCCAACGGATATATTAAAATAATCTTCTTCAAATAATTCTTCAGATAGTTCAGATCAACAATCAATATCAGAGTCTCCAGTCTTCAGAATCTTCTGGAAACTTCAGAGCCTAAGATGTTCTTCAGATGTTGCTGAATCAGAGTCTGGTGCAGCTGTGTGCTTGAAGCGTAACATGCTCTTAGATCAGAGTCTTCACTCAGATCAGAGTCTTCTCTCATTCAGAGTCTCTTCACTCAGAGTCTTCTTTCATTCAGATTCTTGATAATATATGCAGCGTGTTGTATCTTCAGAATCTTGATGACTAAGCTCTTATACTTCAGATTCTTCTAATCTTCAGATGCTCTTGAGCCATTCAGAATTTATTGTTCACATCAAATTTGCTCTTTAAGATTAAAATCTTTTGTGCCTGTAGAAAACAGTTTAGAACAAATTTAGAGAGTATAATTCTTGTATACAAATTATCATTAATGTTATCATCAAAACATAGAGATATTACTAAGACACAATCTGTGCTCTTACAATCTCCCCCTTTTTGATGATGACAAAACATGAGAAATTTGTTCAATAAAAATATGAATTAAAATTACTCCCCCTGAGATTAACAATCTCCCCCTGAAATGAATACTCTAATGGAATTAGATACTTCCCTTTCTGGTTGAGTACATTTCAGATTCAGAGCCTGATTGAAGCCTGGTTGACATATGTTTGACTTCTAGAGTCAAAGCTTGATGCCATATTAAAGCTTGATGCCAGATGAACAACTTCAGAACACCTGGTTGTTTATCTTGCCATTTCCTGTCTTGAGTTATCTTTTAGATCATAGTACTCAAGGTTAGATATCAGAGTCTGGTCTACTCAGATTTAGCTATTTTTGATCAGGTTCTGAAAAGATAGATCTCAGGAAAAACTTCAATGAAATTTGTCAGATTTTTTAATAATATCTGGGACACTTAAATTCAAAGAATGTTAGTAACATGTCTGACTTAGTTCAGATAATTGCTTATAGATTTGAACAATCAGATTCTATTTTGTTTCTCCCCCTTTTTGTCATAATCAAAAAGAATTTTAAAAGACAGTAAAGATGCAGAAGAAACACATATCCAGATAAGCAAAAAGATCAAAGTCATTAAGTCAAGAGAACATCCAGATTCAGATAAAAGCATACAAAACATATCAGAAGAAAATCAAAACAAAGCAAAACATGAAAAACTTGTGCAAAACATCAAGTAGGTTTAGCAGATGAGGCTTGTTGAGAAGCAATGAGTTGCAGCAGTGCTGTAATCCTTTCTGAATTTTCATCTTGCTTAGCCATCCAAGTTTTCATTTCTTCATTTGTTTTCTTTTGATCAACCATAAAATCCTTAAGTTCTTTGACATCCTTCTGAAGATCTGTAGATTCTGAAACAGTAGATTCTGAAACAGGCTGAGTAACATCAGGTGCAGAAATTTCTGAAGGTGGAGGAGCTTCTAGAAGAAGAATAGGAGGAGTGTTTCTCTTAATCCGTTTTTGATAAGCAGCAAACCTTACTTTTGACAATCTAAGACATTGAGTCCTGATTTTCAAAGCCTCCCTATTCAGTTTGTAAAGATATTTCTTCCAAACAGCGTCAGCAGCCTCTTTGTCCATAGTAGTCATGCAAACATCCATAATGTCAGCAAAGTCTGAGACATTATCCTTATCAAAATCTTTTAACAGAGTATAAACACGTGATCCCAATTCTGCTTCATCAGGGATTCTGGGTTTTCTTGGTTGGGTTAGTTGTGTTTGTGGTGTTTGTTCAGAAGGTTGAGGTTGTGAAGATGGATGTTCAGATTTTTGTGGTTCAGAAGGTTGAGGATTGATTTGTGGTTCAGATGTTGGTTGGTTGGTTTGTGGTTCAGATGTTTGTTGGTCAG